CATTAGCACCTCTAGTAATATATTTACTGAGAACAATGTTGACGTGTTCAATACTTTTTTTAACCCGCTGTATGTATGTTTTCTACATTTAATGTTTTTATTTTTGTCCAGTCCGCTCAACACGCCACTACAACGCCTGGAGCTGGCCAACTGCTGCCTGAGCCGTGTGGACATGACCTACCTGTCCAACAGCCTCCACAGCGAGGCCTTTACTCACCTGGATCTCAGCGGGCACGACATCTTCAGCTCATTCCCCACTGCTGTCCACAAACTGCTGAGCCGCTGTTCAGCCACCMTGGCCAGCCTCACTCTAGAGGAGTGCAACATCGAGGAGACACACATGGCGGCCTTCATCAACGCCCTGTCTCCCTGTCAGGAACTGGARGAGCTGAAACTCCTGGGAAACCCTCTCACCTCTGCTGCCCTGCGGAGGTTATTCTCCACACTGTCCGCAGGCTTTCCCAAGTTGAGGTACATAGAGATGCCCGTACCGCGCGAGTGCTACTCCGAGGACGTCACTTATCCTCTGGAGGAGTCGGTTTTGCTACACTACAACCAGGACCTGTTTCAGGAGATCAGGAGCCAACTTTTGGGTATCTTGGAGGGGGCTGATAGAAGAGTGGAGGTGTGCACCCCCCTCACAGGGACCTATGATCCTGACATTCATGAAAYCAGCAATGAACTCGGGGTTTCCATATTAAAATCTTTTAACAGTGTTATTGGGAACTTTATAGGTGCCATAAACGATGTGGACAACAGGAGATCACAGGCTGAAAGACATAATTAGGTTTTTTTAGCATAATAAAGTAATGATTTCAGGTTTTGTACATGAATCTATACTGATTACAGATGTGCAAACTTAGCAACAGCTGTAGCTACTACAGATTAAAACATAAGGCATGAGTTTAGCTTGGTCTATTATACATTTGTACAAAAATCTTTTGTCACATCAATAAAATGTTCAAAAAAAAAAAACAAATGAAAGCTCTAACTTTCCAAACTGCACGTTTTTATGTTATTTTTATTAWAGGTCATTTTTCATATTAAGCCTGCACTTATTACACCAGGGGAGGATCATGCGCCAATCAACAAAAGGAAACGTTTTATTTTTTCATCCATTCTTCTCTTTCTTTTCTCTCACGGATCACCTCATCCAGGTATGGTTTCAGGTAAGGGATGTCCTGAGGAGAGAATGAAAGTAAAAATGTAAATAAATCAACACTTTATAAAACAAATCCCCACTTACAGACTGAAAGATGCAACACCTGACTTTGCATAAGGTAAGGTTTCTCTCACTTATCCCATCCTACACAAAATGCAATTCTCTTGTGAACATACTTCTTCGTATTTCGTCCACTCCTCTTTTGGGAGAATCCGATGTTTCATGCTGAGATGCAGGGCCCTCTTGATCCTGAAAACCCTGTCGTTATAAACATTCTCAGGCAGCCTCCTCACGGCCTCCTTCACATCTTCGTCCTCATGATAGACGTCATATTTCATTAGGCCTGCAACAGAAGACACGTTTGTAGGAATAAGCAAAATTCCAGATGGAAATTTTAATAAAAACTGTTCAGTTTTGTTTTCGCTGCCTATAATAACATGAAGTTTGACAGCTGCCTGAAACTTTGATTTGGCAACTGATGTTTCTGATTAACGCATTTCCATAATTGTATTTGACCATGTTCTGATTTACTGGAATCACTCTGTGTGGTTCTGTCACAAACATACATGCTATAATTCAATCTTTCAATACCAAGGAAGTACATCATTTTTTGACTATAAAAAGGACAGGACTCAACTTACCAAGTTTGTTGAAGCCACACCAGTTGTAATACCATTTCTTGAAATCATACATGAATTTGCTGGACGCCACTGTAAACAAAACAAACACAAATCAGTCAAGGAAAGTGACAATCTAATGAAACCTGAACATAGACAAGCAGAACAGAAGGACTGTAAAAAATGGGAACATTTAAGTCGTTTGACAATACAGAAAAAATATATTAGGTAGGGCATCCTTCCCATAAACAAACTGGCAGAACAATGATATCGTAACTACATGACATTAAGCCCATAAACCTACAGTAGCCTAGCCGAAACTCATAAGAATATTAACGTGAAAGTTGTGACAATACATAAATAGTAATATAGTATCACACTAAACCGATGAGTACACTGTAGTCTGACTGTCTAATACTACTAAATATAAACAGTCTGTGATTTAAACAAATGACGAATATGAAGCTAACATTAGCTGTCCTGTTAGCATCAGTTAGCACGGGGACACAGAGGACACGCAACTTAAATAATCCACCAAGTATCATCCAGGCTTCAAAAACAGAAACAATACAGCGCGTTGCTTTGAAGTGTACGGTTCTCATTTTAATGATATAACGCGACGTTTAGAGAATTTCAAAACACAAAAGACAACGAAAGAAACCTACATTTAGCTGGTGCCCTTGCCGCCATGTTTGCCACTTAGAACCGTGGTGCCTTGTGGATAAACAAGTTTCTTCTTCTTCTAAAATTCATCAGCATTTGGCAAGAAACCAAGAGCTCTTTATCGCCACCTGCTGGTATGGCATGTTTGAAGCATTATTTGTTTGGATTTCATTTGCACCTAATGTAAATTATATAAATTTACTAATAAACAATAAAATAAAAATTGCACATATACATTAATGTTAAGAATTTGCACCTAATGTAAATTATATAAATTTACTAATAAAAAATAAAATAAAAATTGCACATATACATTAATGTTAAGAATTTTATTATTTATGCACTGTAATCAAATTCCTTTTGTTCAAAGAAACAAATGAAAATTTTCTAATTTTATTGGAGTGCAATAAATATAGCTTATTTAGCAAGGCTAATTTCATAAAGCTAAGCCCTGAACTCATAAACAGCTTTTGCTTTGTTTTTTTAATTATTGATAATATTAGGAAATTAGAAGACAAAACTTTTTCAAACAATTATTACACAAATTTATGTGCAATTCATTACATATTTATWATTTATATCTATTACTTTTTTATTCACTAGCTGGGCAGTGAAGATATAAATGTTTGTGCAATATTACGAATCATTTAATGAAGGACCAAATGTATAAACTCACTTATAATTTTTCATTTTTAAATAAAATACATATTCAAGGGCTTGTTTGCAAACTATCAATAGCTTCTTCACTGGGCTTAAGAGAATAGTCAGGTACAAAAATGATCAAACACCTTCAAGGAGGTTGTTTAATGTTGATGTTTCGACTTTATCTTTAACATTTTTACAAGAACAAGTTCATTGATGCACTTTACGTTCTGACTTTGACGTTCACACGACTGGACCAGGCATTCAGTCCTTTATTCTTTACTGCCCGACTCATCGTGAAGAATCAAAGTGTCTTCTGAAACAAATTAAAATCTTCCAGCGTGGCCAGCGCCAAATCTGTGCAAAAGGTCTCATCTGGCAGCGACACCAAGCGGTCCAGAGCAATGTAGCTGGGCTGGGTCGGGTCATACTGAGCTTTTCCAAGATACTCCAGGAACAGGTGGCGCTCTTTGATACGCAAGAACTTCGTGTTGAACACCTAAAGGCAGAAAGTGCAGTTATAATTCTAAATTTAGATAACAATAAAATAGACACGAAATGTTGCAGAGGAAATACCTGTGGGAACTTTATTATCAGGAGGTGGGGAACCTTCATGGTGTTGTGAACGTAGTCAAAGATTTGCGTCAGTTTTTTTTTATTGGCCGTCAGCACTTTAGGAACAGCAATAACTATGTCCTTGATCTCGTCTTCTCGGAATCCAAGCTCTAATCTACACACCTGTGGAACACATTAATCAGAATCTGTTTTATTGCCATTGTCAATGAACAGGATTCACAGACTAGGAATTTGCTTTGGTGTAAAGATGCAATAAGTATAAAATATAACAAATGAAGAAAATACAAAGGATAAAGGAAAAATATAAAATAATATATAAAACGTGTACACCAGTTCAACACAGTAATCAGAGCAGACAATATATTTGGAGTAGTGCAATTAGATCCAGTGATAAAAGTGACCAGAAAAACAATTTAGTCAGAGTTGTGTAGTTTAAAAAATAAAATAAACAGAAAGCATTTTAAAATGCACCTTAAAGTTATTTAAGCTATGCTGCATAGTGATTTTAGCAAAGTTTTAGCACCTTCAAGTTTTCTTTAACAGGCTCCAAGCTGCCGCACAGCAATCTGGGAAGACGAGATACGATGTTTCTTGTCTGCAAAGGGAGACAAAATGATTTATTATTAAGACTTTTTGCAAAACAGRGAAGATTTGCACATTTCTTTATTGCTCTCTTAACAGTTCCATACTTTAGTAGGACTGAGTTTGAGTTGACGCTGATAAAAACCCAGCCTGTTGTCCAGCCTCATCACACTGAAGTTGAGCAGGTAGGGAGCTTTGGACACCATCGCTGCAACCGTCTCTGCATCAAACTTTTTAGACCTAAGGTAATTTACCCTTAATAAACAAAAAGACAAGAAATACTACTATTAAAAACACAACATGCAATATAAAAAGTACCAACAAATATTAAATCCTTTTTTGTTACCTGGTCTGAAGGTCTTCCAAATCCATGTTGAGAATGAAAGGGTTGTGGGTGATAATGTGGCTTAAGCACGAGTCCTCCACCCCGATCTGTTTGAGAAACATCAGCCGAGGCTCAACATCTCTGCTGAAGTCCATTTTGAGCAGCATGGTGCCAACATAGGGCCGTTGTTCCAGCTTCCACAAGCTGACCCCTGCAACGAGAGGAGGCAGGTAAGAAACTATTTGAAATACTGATTTTAGTAAGAAATCTTAAGTTTTTTTCTCAAAATTAGCTATGCATGAATAAAACGGGAATAAATGTTTTCATGGGTTTAACCACCTAGCTGTACGAGCTTTGTCAAAGTCTCTGACTTGTCAACGTAGTCTCGAAGAGTGAATGAATCTGGTGGAATGGAGGGCACCAAAATACTAACAGCCTCCTCATCACTGATCTCCTCCAAAGCTGAAAATGAAACTTCACAATCTAGATCTACAAAAACAAACAAACAAACAAACAAAAATAAAACAAGACATTAAAACAATTCTGTGCCAAGAGAATACACTTATTATTTTAAATCAACAACCCCTAATACCTACCTAAACAAATCTCATTTTCAGGCACTGGCAAAGTATTTGTTGTCGGCAGCAGGGCAGGACTGTATTCAGAACTGTCAGTTTTTGCTAAACCTTCATATTTATGCTCCTTAGCTTCTGTTGTCAGATATTTAGCTGTAGAGTCGTCATTGAGGTAGCACATTTGTTGTTTAAACCTCTGTCTTGTCTGAGTTGCTGTGAGACTCCCATTAGTAAAAGATCCTCTGTTGACTAATGCTGAGCTGGCTGTCCTGATAATACGGTGCTGAGATTGAACGTAATGCAGTCGAGTGCTAGTCTTTGAGCAAAGGACACCTATGCGTCGCAGACACAGCTGTGCACAGGTAGAAGACATGGTGATTCTGAAAGACATATTTGAGAAGAAAGCAAATTAGTACGAGGAAAAGCACTAATGTTTATACTTTGTCTGCACAAACATCTGAATCTTCACCCCAAGAYATTGTGGTATAATGCTAACCAAAACAACACGTATCTATAGAAAGGCCGATGAAAATTATTAAAACACAAATCAATGTATCATCCAAATCAACTTAATTTCTTTTGTCTTATTGCGAGATAATAATGTTATGAGATAGAGTAAAACTCTTATTTATCCATTTTCTAGACATCCCAGACTCACAGTTGCATTTAAATGTGTGTGTATCAGCAGATAAAATGCAGACATTTTACATTTTAATTCATGATCTAATGCAGTACTTAAAACAAGCTTATTAAATCGTACTTTTCCACCCAAAAAATACAGCTACAAATGCCTTGTATCTCTCACTTTACTGACTGGTTCACCTTTTATGTTTGATGTTGTATTTCATAGTTTGCAATGTGTAGCTTTCCTTACAGAGAACTTAGCTGTTCGTTGGCATAATGATGTATATTTTAGCTAGACTAGGCTACACACAGTACCACTATGTGCCAATCATAAACATGGCTGTATTTGAGGCTAACTCAACAATGCTAGTCGTAGCAAGACATCACCACAGCAAATAAACTTTCTCCAGTCGAATAAATAGTCAAGACTAATACGCAGTTAAAAGAAATATACTCACTAGTTCCTAAAAAAAAACCATCAACTTCTTAAATCGGATGTTCTGTCTCTCATAACATTGAGAAATGTCAACTTCTTTCTTTTTTCACGTGCGGCGCAAAGGAAGGCCTGGCGCATGCGCAATACCGTGGGATGTACCACTTTTGCATCTGTAATTTTTTTGAAGGACATATTCCCACAAATAAATTAAAAATAATAACATACAACGATATTTATTTAACAAATACAAAATAAGTGCGCTTTACGTTTTAGTTGTTGTCAAATATGATTCTCGTGTTAACATTTAAACACCCCCCTAAAACTGCAGTGGTTCAGTCCTTTTTTAAAACATTTGTGGCCGCTAGATGTCAGTAATGCACCATTACGCCGAGAATAAAACCACAGATGAAGAAGTGGGAGTTGCAACATCGCTGTTTATTGTTTACCGCGCTAAATTTACTTTAATAGAGTTAATAGAGTTCTTCAAAGCCGCGGCATGGCGGCCACCGTGGGTCCCCGTTTACCGAAAAACAACGAAGCTAACTATAAACTGCATTTCCGAATGATGAATGAGCAACAAGTGGATGACATCACGCTTGACTTCTTCTACAAACCACACACCATCACCCTGCTGACAGCTACTGTGCTCAGCCTCATGTACTTTGCGTTCACCAGGTAAATCACCGAACTTAATACTGTTATTAAATGAATTAACAAGGTTTCCTAACAGCTGTGATTGCATTCTGAACAGGGATGATGAAAACTCTGATAACAATCTCCGTGTTGCTTTGTTGGTGGTTGTTTCCTTCTTCTTGGTTATCAGTGTGCTGGCCTTTCCTAATGGTAAGCTGTGGCACTTCACTCACAAGGGCACCATTATAAAGTGTTATGTGATTGTTTGTAATACAGTAAACTGCAGATGCAAAAATGATGGTAGTTGATTAGTAACTTACATTCATTTTCAAAAATTTTTTTGTCTATTGTAAATAGAATATTTTAGCCTATTTTTGATTGATTTAAATATTTTCATATTGCACTGACATTTCATGAACAACAATCATTATTTTAACTATCAGGGCCAGGATTAGTTTACAAAACCTAAAACGACTGATGCTTTTATTTCCAGGACCCTTCACGAGACCACACCCTGCAATATGGCGAATGGTGTTTGGTGAGTGTTCACAGTGACATAAATATTAGGTTTATTAGTCCAAATTATCCCTCAGCTTCTCTTGTCTTTGTTAGGTCTCAGTGTGCTCTACTTCCTGTTCCTCGTCTTCTTCATCTTCCTTAACTTGGACCAAGTACAGACCCTCACGTACTGGTTGGACCCAAATCTGCGTTATGCTAAAAGAGAAGTGGATGTCATGGTAAAGATGGTTTAAAACTCAGCATTTCTAAATTTCTCACATTTATTTATCTCATGCACTTTTTGTTTGTAGGAATGAACTAAAATCTTTAAGCTTCCTAACATTATCAAGATTTTTGTCTTTCTGATTTTTTGTTATTATTATTATTTGTTGTTGTTAGCATTCTGTTTAATTTCAGTTTTAACAGGAATAAGTAAAGTAAGTTTTCTTTCTGAAGGAATATGCTGTAAACTGCACCGTGATAACATGGGAGCGCATCTTGAGCCATTTCGACATCTTTGCCTTCGGTCACTTTGCAGGTTGGACCATGAAGGCTCTGCTGATCCGCAGCTATGGTTTGTGCTGGACCATTAGCATCACCTGGGAGCTCACTGAGGTAAACAGCATGATGCTTGGCTTTGATGTGCCTTTAATAATCTACAGTATAGAGGGAATATGTCAGGGCTTCGTTTACACTTTACTTCAGAGCTTTTTGTTCTTTTTTTATTTTATTTTTTTGCAGCTCCTCTTCATGCACCTCCTGCCAAACTTTGCAGAGTGCTGGTGGGATCAGGTCATTCTGGACATACTGCTGTGTAACGGAGGAGGAATCTGGCTGGGTATGACACTCTGCCGTTTCCTGGAGATGAGGACGTACCGCTGGGCCAGCATCAAGTCGGTCTTTTCAAATATATTGACTCCATTTTCTAAAATCTCTTTAACCACCTGTGTGTAAGTTTTGGTGAAATGAGTATGAGAGCTGTAGCTTTCACTCTGTGAAAGGTTTTTGTTTTTGCTTTTCCAGCTGATTAACTCTATTCTTCTTTAATCAGGCTGTTGTACAACTAAATGTGTGATTGTTGTAGTTGTCTGACTCTGATGACAAATGTCCTCATAATTCTTGTCTTAGATAGATAGATAGATAGATAGATAGATAGATAGATAGATAGATAGATAGATAGATAGATAGATAGATAGATAAACAT